AAAAAAAAAAAAAAAAAAAAAAAAACCAAAAAACCTTTTATATGTTAGTATGCAATTTTCTTAGCTCTTTTAATCATCAGATGATTTTTTTTTAGGTTTTGTACAATTCTTTTTGCTTTTTTTAAAATCTTTTACACTATACTCTTTTAATGGGTAGTTTTGACAGCTAAAATAAAAAACTATAAAAGTTACATATAGGAAAAGAACTGTATAACAACTATTGACTGTGAATGTTGACATTTTATTATCCAAGCAATTCATGAAGTTTCTTTCCATCAATATTCTACATTTTCCTGATTAAAAAAAAATGTAATATTTTGATTCAGTTGTGTGGGCAATAACAGCTAAGATGGAAAGTCCAAGATTTGAGGGTTGATTGTTCCATTTTGTAACCTCAGATCATTATCCTTCAGAGCTGTACAGATCACACACATACTATGCCTAATCAATAAAAGAGACTTTTAACCAGGTCACATTACTTTTTCATTGCCTCTAAAAAGAAGTTGGTGCCTCAGGTCAAGTGTCACTATGACAAAATACCTCTTAAATGGACTTGTGGGGAAGCTACTTCTCACCATCTTTCACCACATTATTTCAGATCAGACTGAATAAATTGGTTTGAGCGTACCTTGCTAACTTCTGATTACACACGCACACACACAGAATGGATATAGTACAGGCAGAAGGTAGGATAGCCTGTTTCCTATGAATGCTGTTGCTATAAAACTCCTTGAACCTGTTAATTTAAAGGCAAAGGTCCCAGCCACAAGTGACAAGGGAAGCCTCTGTGACTGGCATGTGACAGATCAGAGGGGATAAACAGCAAAGCAGCAAATAGTGCAGGAAAAGTACAGCAGGAGAGGAAGCAGAAAGCAGAGGAGACTGAGCAGAAAGCAGAGCTGGCAGGGGAAGGGGGAATCAGAGTGGCACCTGGAGAGGAGATGAAGCTAATTTGTGGAATGACTGCTGAAAAGGTTGGTCCCCACTGCTGTAAGGTATCATCAGGCATTGCCTTCTGCCTGACTTCAGACTAAACACAGTTAACTACTTCTGTCTATACAGATACTTAACAGCACCTACATATGTGCCAGATGCCTGCTCCAATGCATGCTTAATGAAGTCTGCTGGAGCATGCTAATTAACATGCTTCAGCAGCCTTGGCATCATGTGCATTCAGCGTCCCCGTACTTCAAAATGGCAGTTGGGACACATTAACTAGAGTTCATTGAACAAGCTTTAGTTAAAGTACCCCCACCGCCATTTTGAAGCATGAGACACTAAATACATGAGATACTGCGGGTGCTTTAATTAGAGTGGCTCCCAAGAGCTGCTCTGATTAAAGTGCTCCCCCTCTGCCCCCCAACCCTGCAGCATGTGTAAAGACACCCTAAGATACCATTTGTTACATCATTAAAACCAGAGTTTCCTCTATAACTAAAAGGTATGGTTTCATTTGCATAGTTAAACTATAAGATTAAAGTAATCCTAGGATTCCTACAGTGTATTTTTTAAGAAAAAAGTTTTACACTCACCTGGTTTCTTGTAAGTGACATAAATGTAGAGTCCGAGGACTATGACATATGTTAACAGTGCTGCCCACCAATTAATGACAAACATTACTATGCAGCACAGAATTGCCCCAATTAGAGAAATCCACATATTGTAATACTTAAAAGCAGGACGCCAACCTATTAAAAATGAAAACAAAAAGAAAAGGATTTAGCTATTACTAATAATGGAACAAACTGGTCATACAATCCCTCTTTAAGCCCTCTGGTTCTTGGTGAATACAAGACAATTTCAACAGTACACAGTAATAGATTACAGATTCTGAAACATTTATAATAAAAAGTCTGCCAATGATTTCTCACAATGCAAAGAAAGCTGCGCACATGTTAGAAACAGACAAGAATAGAGGTCTTGATATAACAAAGACTATTTGTTACATTTTAAACTTGTTTAATCCTAGTTGAGAGGGAAAACAAGCTTATATATTACTTTATTTTTTGCTTTGCAGTTTACCCTTTAGAAGACGGTACAATATGAATCACAACATAAATGTTCCATATTACCAAAGGGTCTTTTGTTCCCCATCATTGTTTCAGGAATACCAGCAAATATAATTTTAACTTTTCTGTTTATTTGGGTGATCAACAGCTCCACAACATTCAAAGATGGAGGAAGACAAATGCCGTACAGTCAGGTATATCCATGAATGTGGCACCTGTACTCTTATCTCGCCACCCGAACCCAGAATACAGAAAGACTAGAACTCAAACAGCATACACAACAAAGCAGCTAGACGTACACCATATTCAAAAGGCTTCTCATATGTATGTATAATTTAGAAAAGTAATATTTTAACAGTAAGAGGATTTAGCTACACAAAGAATCACCACGTGGGAAATTTCCACTACTGGTATACACAAGCAATAACAAAGATACATTCACAAATTTACAAAACAAAATGAACCCTGTGTTAAATGCTCCTATAAAAACATGAAGCATACTAAGGTGAGTTTGAGGGTTTGCAGCAGTTTCACTTAAAAAAAAAAAAAAAAAAAAAA